ATCTGATTTATTGAAGTCAAGACTTTTTTTCTTATACTGCCACCTAGTGGCACAGCGGTACGCCTGCGAACTTACAACGCTAGAAACCGGGTTTCGATGGTGGGCAGAGCACTGATAGCCCACTGTGTATCTTTGTGCTTAACGTCCAACAAACAAACCTTTTTGACTATTTTATAAATCTATAATGCACAACATACACATATATATGATATATTTACAGTATTTAATGTACTCACAAGCTGTTTTCTTTCGCCTATTTTTGCACTTCCTCTAGTAAACAAAATGTCGTCTTTAGTTTTGTTTATTCGCATGATTACGTACACATTATCTGCCACACGCAGAAGATGCCATCATTAACCCTGGCTTGCTGTGGTACAAAGTTTGTTTCACACAATGCTACCCTAGGGCTGAAAGGGCGAACATGTTCAGTGAGGGGATTCGAACTTGCGCCCTGCAGAGCGCGAACCGAGAGCCTAACAACTGAACTATGTCAAGCCCTAGTGGACGGGATCTCTAAAAGGGAAATGAAATATTCCAGCAATAAATTTTTAAACATTGATTAATTAGTAGTAGAGTTATACCTTAAGTCTTTTATCGATCCACAATTGTACAAGATTAACGAGAGTTATACCTTAAGTCTTTTATCGATCCACAATTGTACAAGATTAACGAGAGTTATACATAGAGTTATACCTTAAGTCTTTTATCGATCCACAATTGTACAAGATTAACGCCAGTTTATTTTATTTAAGTTATTTTATAGATCCTTTGATCCATTTGTTGGTATACTAAATTTGGGAATGACCAGTTAAAGTGTAATTAAGTAAAAGTTGTTTTTTTTTATTGACCACTAGGGGTAATAAACGAGAATATATTGTGTAGTTGCAACTTTAATAATCATGTTTTGTTTGTTGTTAAGCGCAAAGCTACACTATGGGCTATCTGTACTGTGCCCACTACGGGTATCGAAACCTGTTTTTTAGCGTTATAAGCCGTCAGACTTACCACTGTACCACTGAGAGGCTAACAGTTATGAACTTGTATAAATAATTTAACAGATAGGTTTATATATATATATATAAACTCACAAAGTATGTTTCAGATAGGAAGCCGGACGTAAGCTAGTGGTTAGCCTGTTGTGCTCTTCTAGTGCTTTCGAGTGAACTTATTACATAACAGGGCAGAATGTAATCAAGATGCTCACTTTTGGAAGAAAGCATGAAACTCTGTACAAGGGGCTTTTGAACATGCTGATTTTAATTTTTAATGGAGGAAATATCTAGTCATTACTTCCTATTCAAAATAATAGGGGGCAAGATATGACCAAGTACGATTTACTGTTTCTTTGTTTTTTAACATTTACAACTTTTGTTTGAGTTTTATTTATAAAACCTTCATCTTCCTAAAAATAGATATTAATAGATGGAGTATTTCAATATCAATGGAGTATCATCATACATGGTTCTTTCTACAGTTCTCACCCTTGGAGTACCATCATTCTCTAATGTACGATTCTTAGTTATTTCTACCTCGTGCCCCAGTGATTCAGCGGTAAGTCTGGATGCTTATAATGCTAAGAACCAAGTTTCGATCCCCGTGGTGGACACAGGACAGATTGTGGAGCTTTGTGAACACCAACCCACAAACCCAATTTCTTCTTATCTTACCCATGGAGTATCATTATGCCTTAATATTTGCTTCTTGGTTCTTTCTACCACTCGTATCCTTACAGTATAATCAGATATTAATTTTCGCTTCTTGTTTTTATTTTCCTCTCTTACCCTTGGTAGTATCATCATGTTATAATGTTCACTTCTTGGTTCTTTCTATCAATCTAGTTTCATCATCTAATCTTGAAATATTTACGCCCATGGCCAGATCATTCAGTTTGTCCAATTCAATAAGATTCTGAAATAATGTCTGCTCTCTTGTTGGCTGAGCTTAATTATAACTAGATCTATCAGGAATGCCCCTGTTTTCTCTTGACAAATGACAATTAGAGTACAGTCAGACGGTGTTACCCAAGTAGCTGATTGATAGGAGGAAGTCTATTTTCTTGGAAATTTTTTCGTCCTGTGATCAGTTAAGGTTGACTACACTATGCTTTATTAGAGCTCATCACTGTTGGAATCTGAAGAAAAAAAAATAAACGTCACAGTACTTGACAAAATTAATGTAATACTGATTGCAATTCATAAAAGTCAGTTCATCATCAGGTCTGTGGTTGCTGTAGATTCATTATCATATCATTTACAATATTAACGCTACACATCAGCTGTGTGCATTTTAACACGAGTACCATGAATATGTGAAAAATGTGGACGAACAAAAAAATCCTTTCATATACCCCAGAAATAAGATTAGTGGTATTGTTCTAACGTCTTCTATCGTTGAACCGGTTCATTTTGGATTATTTGGTAAAACTAATAAGAAATCCAGTCCACATAACATTAACAAATTAATTTATTTCTTCTTCATTACAGCTACATTCTCTTGTAAGCCTAACTTCAAAGGGAAAACTTTTCAATACGAACTACTGTAGATCTAATTCAATATTAACATTTAATTGAAATTTCCTTGGTTGTTAACAAATGCTGGCTAACTTACTGATTAGCTTACAGAAGCTACTATAACAGAAGCTTTACTCGATCATTCTCACGCCGAATACTTTACTCTAAAACTTTTCATTTAATGCTTCAGTGAACTAAGTAATTGCTTATTTGTATTTATAACTAATGTACCCCCGTCCTGATATTAATCTAAGAGTCTCGTTTTAACGTCATGTGCCCTCTAACTAACATCTAAGTTAAAATATTGAAAACATAGCCTATGATAGTATTGCCCCCAGTAGCACAGGGGTATGTCTGCGGACTTACAACTCTAGAATCCGGGTTTCGATACCCGTGGTGGGCAGAGCACAGATAGCCCATTGTGAAGCTTTGCGCTTAATTACAAACAAACAATATTATAGTATTAATAGGTTTTGCATGGTTCAACATCAACGCATAGTTATCTGAAATTAGAGCCAAATATTTACCTGAAACGTTTGAATATCTTGCGAATTAAGGATTAAAAACTGTTTACTTTTCCAGCATATGTGACTTGATAAAGAAAAATGCGTAAGTGATGTGAGATGAAAGGATAACAACTGGATGAGGAACGTTTATTACTGTGATGTACGTATAGCACTATGGTGTCTTGGAAAAGTTCCAGTACAATGCTTAAGTTTGTAGAAACAGAGACAACTAATAAAAAAAAATACTTTCCCAGCATTATTTGAAGGACAATGAACCTATAATATAAATTACTTTTTTTACAACTTCACAAAGTTGCCAATACAGCCATTTACCAATACCCATCCCTCGCAATTTTCTCGCTCAATTTCCTGCGATCTGGTGGCTAGGATGCTCAACTCGCAATTTGTTGGTCGCGAGTTCGAATATCGTCATCGAACACATTCACCTTTTCAGCCATGTGGGCAATATAATGCTACGGTCAATCCCACCATTCGTTGGTAAAAGAGTGTCCCAAATGTTGGTGGTGGGTGGTGTTGACTTGTTGCCTTCCCTCTTGTCTAGCATTTCCAAATTAGGGACGGCTAATGCAGATAGCCCTGGAGTAGCTTTGCGCAAACTTCTACAAAACATACACTCAATTTTCAGCATGAAGGATTCCCCAAATCACTTAAAATCAGTAAGTTTCAAAACCCTTTACTATCAAATTTTATGTTTTCTTCCGGATGTGAAGGTTGTGCCAAATATGTGACATATCTGCTCCACTGTTAGGTTTAAAAGATTTATTGAAAAATCAGTTGTAAGATAATAGAGACTCTACGGTTGGTAATATATATATGTGTTGTCATCAAAGCTAAAATTCCCATATATAGCTTAAAGTAACTCATAGATAGAGTGGATTAAGCACCTCTGAGAAAATAATTCAATAATTTTAAGTTGACATAAAAATATTACAAATGAAAATATAATAGTTTCAAATTACCGAATGGTCTGATAGATGTTGTGACATTCTCTATAAAGTGCTATTTGAAGTGTCCTATCCTTAATATTGTTTTATTATGTCTCAACGCAGATTTCAAACATATTGTGATGAAGTATGATATTTTATTATTTTCACAGTGATATTTTATTTGAATTATAAAAATATAGAAAGTGCGACTTTATTCAAGTTCAGTATGACTCTGAACGCTCTTTTATGCAATGAACTTAAAAAGGAATTCATTAATAAAACAAATAAAAACAGACTAGAAATGGTGTTAGTAAATTATCCAAAAGTTAGAAAATTAAATTTTATTGATTTTAAATTATTGTAATGACTTCATAACTGATTTATAAAAATGTATTATTTGAAGCCACTACTGTAGTCATTACAATAATTTGAACTCAATAACACTTTTACAGTTTTCAATACGTTATATTCGTACAAGTTTAAAGCTGATTTACCTAGAAGAAGAATTACGAGTTTCAAATTTTAACGTTTATTAAAAACTATTCTTACTTACTTGTTTTATCGTATATTCTGAAATTAACTTGCTGAGCATTTTTAATTCACGGTGGGCCCCAAATAAGTCTCAGGGCTTATAACTCTAAAAATGGGATTTCGATAACGGCGGTAGGCAGAGTAAATATAGCCCATTGGTTAGCTTTGTGCTTAACAGTAAACAAAAATTCTCTGTGTAGCAGAAAGCTAAGGCAAGCATTTGCCTTTCCGCAAATTATTTATCGAAATAACTCTCACAATGAAATTCGTATGCTTCAAATTAACATATTCTCGTATTGTGGGAACGTATTCTGCATAAATGGCGATTAATCATGCAAGCATGTGTGCATTTTAAAAATTATAAAACTAAATCCTTGTATTTACTTGATTTTTTATTATTGTTATTATTTTTCAAGAGGTTAGAACATAGCGTAGTCGTTATGTTCCAACCTCTTTGTTTTTTTCTCTTAGACACCAATCTTCCACACTTGCGATTTAAGACTCGTTGTTTGAAAATGTTGTTATGTAAGAATTAATTAAATAATGATTTAGAGGTTTTATATATTATAAAAGTTTCCATAAATGTGAAATCGGATGGGTAAAGATGGCGCCCTTACTTTTTCGCGTAAAGTACACGTCTGCATTGAATACTTGTACTAGGCCTAATTACTATGGAAACTGTGAGTTGTTTCAGTGTTAAAAATGTTTTTAACCAACATGCCCTAAAATTTGTGTTAAAAACAACTATGTTTTTTCATGTATTTTATTTTGAATCAAAAATGAACAAATTAAGAATAATTTTGAGGAAAAAAAAAGACAATTGGAGTTAACGTAATTTTTATCACGTAATTTAGGCTTTAGTCTAGAGTATAGACATATTTCAGTAATTGGGTTCCAATGGCAAGTAATGCTTCACCAGTATTCGGCGTGACTTAACAATATTTTTAGTTTTACGTAGGCCCTATGTTTGATTAAAATATGACGCAACTTACATTTTTATGTGGAGTTTATATTCTTTTTCTTACGGAAATTTCTTAAGATATTTTAATAGAATCGAGTATTGTATGATATTTATAGGCTTATACTTCATTCCTGTGAAGTTTTCTCAGGGCATTCTGTTGAGTTCCGCTTCGTGAAAAGTTTTTGTGAAATGTCCCCTTGCAAGCTTTGATTTCACTGTAAGTTTTATCTGTTTATCTTGATTCCATTCTTATTAAACACCGTAGCACTTACAATAGTTTACAGCCATTAATATTAATAGTAATAGATGGTGGTTCACTTATGTGCATGTTGTTATTCTTCTATTTCTAGGATCTTGGGTTCTCTAAGAATATACATCAAATTTTTCTTTGTCAGACCATCTATTTCTCTTCTGATAGTGTTACAGGTTGTGCTTCTTCTGCTTTAATTTTTCATATATGTTTGAATGAAAGTTTTAGGGTTTTTGTCATTATGTTCAAGTGTATTATGTATTTTCTGATATTCATTGAGGTTTTTTAGTAAAAGGAGTTTTATTTTCTCATGCATCCTACTGTGTCTCTGGTTTCTTCCTTGAGGTTGGTATTCATGAGAGGTCTGCCACTTTCTGTTAACCCTCAAATTACCAGTTTCTTTATATATTGTTCAGTACCAGTGGTGTCAACATATTCCATCATATTGAACAATGATATACTTTTTACCTGTCACAATGTTCACTGTAAAGAACTCTACTACCAAATTGGGTGAAATCACTCATAGGAGGCCCAGTAGTAATTAGTTAGAATAAGCGTTTGATAGTATCTATTTTTTGTGTTACTACTATGTCATTAGGAACCTTTTAACCATAAAATCAAGGCCAACAAGCAGGTTATTGCACAAATTGTTTCAAAAAATGTCTTCAAAAAGTTGATGATGTCTGCGGTCCCCATTAGTAATTTTAAGGGCTAGGAAAGGTCACTCAAAGCTTTGAAGAATTAAGAATAAAGGTCAGGAAAAATTCTCCTCAATGTGGTAGGAAATGGCAAGACAAGTTCCTAAAATAACAGATTATTAAAACTCTAGCAATTTTTTCATGCAGAAAAAAATATCTAAATGAGAATTTAAATTTAGTAGTTCTAGAAATGTCAGTTTCCTAAAATATGTAAATTGTTTTAAATAATTGTAATTACAAAATGTAAATTATGACCTTTTCTTTTTAACAGGGTAGTCTGTGAAAAAAAGGTTCCCAACCCATATTTGTCTGACTTTGAAAAGGTGATTAATTGCAATTTACATATTTTTTTCCCAATCAACAATAACGATATTACAACATATGCATCTTGAGAATAAATAAACTATTATTATGAAAATTAGTTCTGTCCTTGCCAAGTCACAGCATTGTTAACATTGCTTGTACAAGCAAAAGAAATATAAAAACATGTCTTATAAGTCTGTGTCTTGTCTCTATATGCATGTACTTTGATAGAGTATATTGTGGTCTTAAGGAATAGTTACACATCATGTATGAGAAAATACAAGGAATATGGAACTCCTATTGCATTAATATGCAAAAACAATTTAGCATGTTACCAACTCCCTGTGTGTAGCATCAAGTACGGAGATTGATTTGGTTATTGTAACTGATATTTTGATGATACAGATAACTTTACATTTAAATGGACTAGAGACTCAAAACATGATATGAAAAATATTGAGAAATATTATAAATAGAAAATCAAAGCATGTTTTGAACTTGGTGTGCAATTAGAAGCAGACCACCCACACAAGCTCACATCTATCATAATCTAACTGTTTCCTAAAGTAGTAATAAACATCTGTCACTAATTGTCAGAATTAGCACTGCACAACAAGCCAAACAGTACTGAATGAGATGGTGATGTTTTTGTGGTAAATTTAGCACATAATGAAGCTAGGACCAGTAATGTGGCAACAAACGTCAAATTTGCACTGATGGCATCATACTGCCAAATGAAGCTTGCACTAGTAATAACACTGCTGATTGGTCATCACCAAGGATTAGACATCATGGTGTGGCCAAAGTATACAAAGATCCTCTACTTGACCATTTCATAGAGTTGACAGGAATCTACTTTTTCGAGGTAGTCGTGATTGAAGGTGCACCTGTTGAACACTGATGAATTATTCACAGTAGACCAGCAAATGCTGTGACATGTCTCATTGCCTCATATTGTGTGTAGTGGAGGTTAATGCATATTTGTATATCTATTTTATTAGTACAGTTTATTATGGAGCACAAGTAGTTAATTTAGCCTACCCCTCATTTTGATAGTAAACACATATTTTTATTTTGAACTCAGTATCTCATACAGTGACTTGTTACGTTCAAATATATATATACTGTAATCTACATTTACATCTCTATCTTGTGCCTTCTGGTAATCAATAATGCTCTTGAAAAGTTATGACCACCTTGGCAGAAGTTCCAGGGTTGGTAGGTGATATCTCCACAAGCAAAAGCTTTCTTAATGCATTCATCATATCTTATACCAATGTAAAATTAGCATAAATCTCATAGCTTAAAATAAAATAGTGCAATAAATCAATTTTTTTAAAGTCAGTCAAAACATGTAAAAGAAGGATACTTTTCTCTAGAATCAGCTGTTAAAAATTTTAGTATTATCATATTGATCATTGTATTGTGTTTTATACATACCAATTTTCTCAGTAATAAAAATATAAGCATTCTTTCTAGTATTAATTAAAAACTTGTTAAGTTTAAAATGCATACATAAACTGTATTTTAAGTAGACATTAATTTAATTTGGTTAAGCTAATCACATAAATAGAAAAAAAAATGTAGATAGATAAATTTTTTCTTTCTAGGTTTTTGTGGATAACCCAACAGGTATGGATGCTCGCAAACGTAAGCATCCACCAACGCCTCACATACCGTCAGAAGAGACAAATTTTGACACAGAATTTTCTCTACCCCACGTACCAATGTACATGCATGTAGACAGAGACTCTAATAATTTTGAAAATGATCTAAATGAAAATACTCAGAATCATTCTTTAGGACTGAAAGGAGACAGAGCCAATATTGCGGTATTATTCTTTCTTTATGTTTTACAAGGAATTCCATTGGGCCTTGGCAGCAGCATACCAATGATTTTACAAAATCATGGAATTAGCTATAAGCAACAAGCACTCTTTAGTTTTGTACATTGGCCTTTTAGTGTAAAGCTTTTATGGGCACCAATTGTAGATTCTATATACTCGTCCAAGTTTGGTCGTCGTAAGTCATGGTTAGTCCCAACACAATACACCATAGGCATATTTATGCTCTTTCTGTCTGTTTATGTCATGTCACTCCTTGGCGATGAGACCCAGAATATCCAACCCAATGTTTTTATTTTAACAACAGTGTTTTTCATGCTGAATTTCCTAGCTGCTACTCAAGATATTGCAGTTGACGGCTGGGCATTAACAATGCTATCCAGGTAATGAATGTTACAGTAGATTACAGTTACTATTTAAAGTAATCAACTGACTATCTGTAAGAATGCTTTACAAGCACCTATTTCATTAAATATCATCTTTATATATATATTTTTTAAAGTGTGTGTGTCTATATACATGTATATGCATATTATATTTTAATACTTAAAACTAGCATTTGACTTTTTTTTTATAGTGATTAGTATCAGAGATATTGTCTACGGTTTGTGGATGTTTTTTATGGTTAATTTTGATAATACTTCTTTTTATTAATTAATGTTTTTGGATTTTGACTACCAATGCTAAATGCTTATTCTAATAAATATTTCTCTATTTGCCTAAATAAATATATATATAATTTTGTTGTTGTTGGAGCAACAGTAATGTTAATATTCAGCAAAAAACACTGCAGTGTTTCTTCTGTAAATGTAACCAACCGCTGTCTTTCTCTCATATTTTTTATCTGTAAAATCTAATGTATGAGACACTTCATAACAGTTTACTTAATAAGGATTAATAAAAGGGATAACACTTGGATACTCATAAATGTACAATTGTTTGGACTTTGCGACACTATTGTATATACATGCATGGTAAGATGAAATAAGTAAAAATGCTCAAATGTTTCAAGAGTAAAAGATGCTGAGAAATTATTTTTTTCAATTGTTCCTGAAGTTAGTCAAGTATAGTAGAAAGATTAAGATTACCTCGAAAGTCAAGGTCACAAAGAGAATAATTTAGTTGTTTTTATTTTTTGTTACCTGTTTGTTGGCAAACATGGAAAATTATAGACAATGAACCATAGTTGTGTAGGCTAAGATGACTCTCAGTATTCATAAATTAAATTAATTTTAATTAATTTATCTGGCAAGTTATAAGCCTTGCATCTTAACCTCCAAGTGTCTTCATGGTTAATGAAAGGGTAAAGTATTTCTTTTTTGTTGATAATCTGGTGTGGTTACTAAGTTAAAACTTTGGCTATATGTTTTATATTTCAAGTATATGCCAGTTCAGGTTTTATCCAAAGGACCTAACTTTATTGGTTGAAACTCCTTTTAAATTGTTAACAAGGCATGGTAAATTATCATAGATTTTAGTGCCTTTAGACTTATATGTACTCACAAAGTTCAATAACCTTTACTCAGGTTTTTAACATTTGTACGACATATTTTAATTTTTCATGCTGTTGGTCATTTTCTCAGCATTTTAACTATGTGACTTGTTTCAGTTAATTAATTAACTGTAATAATTTCTATGCAAAGATTGTTTGAAATAAAACTGAAGTTTATGCTAGAACTTACAAGTATCATAAAAATAGGTAACTTGTCACATGATTTAGTTATTGTGAAACTTAACATATGAATTCAATGCATTCTTATTTTTTTCTTAAGACATAATGTTGGACATGCATCTACTTGCAACTCTGTAGGCCAGACAACTGGATACTTTTTGGGTAATGTAGTATTTTTAGCCTTGGAGTCGTCAGACTTCTGCAACAAATACTTACGCACAGAGCCACAGCCTAATGGTTTGCTTACACTGTCTGGTAAGCTTAATACATAAATGATTTTTTATCTATTAATTAAAGGCAGTGTAATTTCTAAGTTATATATTTTGTAGGTGTAATGTGCATCTATCTATACGAAGAAGCTTTGTTTAAAACTTTGATTTCTTAAAAGAAATATATACTAATTATTAAACTATAAAAAATGACTGGTATAATACAGAATGAAATAAGAGAACTTGTTATGGTAGAATGTGTGTTTTCATCACTTTATACCAAAAAAAAATTGATTTTAATATAATTGTTTGTAACATGGACATGTGATTTATTTTAGTAAAAAAAAAACATGCCAGTATAAAAACAGTATAAGTAAAATTCTAAAACTTGTAATTTAAAAATTAAAGAAATTATGCTCTAAGCTCATCTAGTCCGTAGATATTTTACAACTACTTGTAAAAGCACTGTTAACTTTATATGTTTTATCACTAAAAAGCAGCTTTTTGAAGCAAATGTAATGTTGACTCCTGACTATGAGTAGGTTTGTAATGTTCAGTTTTCAAGAACATGTCCATGTTTTGCTATTACAAATATTAACATTTTTTGTATATACACACAATAGATCTCTCTCAAAGTTATCCTTTTATGTTATCGTTTGTTTTTTTTCTATTGACAGGTTTTCTTTACTTCTGGGGAGTGGTATTTCTTGTAACAACAACCCTAATCATGCTGTTTAAAAAAGAAAGTGTATCTGAACATTTGATGAAAGATGGTGATTATGGTCTTGTAGGGACGTACCAAATGCTTTACAGGATTCTGTGTCTACCAAGTGTCCGTGCTTTTGTGATAATTCTTCTTACTTGTAAGGTGAGTTCTACACCAGGTTATTTCTTTTTAGCTAGATTGTAATCCTTCATCTGATAATATTTTTCTTTTTTTTTGAAAAGCAATAAATCAAACTAATTAGACTTTAAGAAGATTGACCACAAATGTTTCTTTATTTATTTATTCTAAGCAATCTCCTGTTTTTATTGTTGAATATTATGTTAAAATATGGGATAATTACGTTCCAACATATGTATGGCCTTTGGATACCACATCTATGTTAACTTAACATTGCTGTATTCTATGATGTATATTGTCATAAGTCTTGTGAATGAATTTATGTTGGTTCCACCACAAGACATCAAACATTGCTGTGTTCTGTGGTGCATGTTGGCATAAGTCTTGTGAGTGAAATTATGTTGGTTCCACCAGTTGTGGAACCAACATAACTTGACTCACAATACCTATGACAACATGCATCATAGAACATAGTAATGTTCAATGTCTTGTAGAACATAGTAATGTTCAATGTCTTTACCTATGACAACATGCATCATTTACTATTAATTAATGACCATCAAGTTCACTATAAAAAAAGTCAAATACATTTACACAATTGTTAGATTTGACAATATGTGTGAGCTTTAATCTTTAGTGATTCTTCATTTTTGTACTTCAGTCAATGTCTTCTGGTGGAACCAACATATTTTCACTAACAAGTGTGTGAGGTGAACTGGTTTAGTAACATAAACAACTCAAGTTCACTGAATGTCAAAGTTGATAGAGTAAAAAGGATTGTTAATTTCTATGAAATTCACTTTAATATATTTCTCTGAAATTAGAAATACCTAAATAAAAACGTTGAATACAACAGAAATCATCAGACATAATTAGTTAAGTAAGACATGTACAGGCTAATCTCTACATAGACAGCTGTATTAGTAGTTTATTTTCTACAATAAAAACTATATTATTGATGTTTCAGTATTAACCCATTCACTTTGGCTGCTCTAAATGTGCACAGTTTTTTCAAGCCATACACCGTATATGGCATGCTCACATTCAACTGCCAGAGGCAAACCGTATCCTATATGGCGAATCGGCAGTCAGTGTGTTCAAAATAACTTATTTGAATATGATATTGTTTTTTTTAATTGAAGTATTTGCAGACATTTGTGTTTTTCCTCTGTAGATATCATAACAAGTTAATAAAATTATAGTTCGTACTCAATAAATGTAGGTTATTCTATTGGAAACTATAAGCTATGCTCGTTGTTGATATGCTAAATATCTTTTCAAATATAGCAGAGATATGTAATGATATGCAGATATCTTCCAGTACAACGTTTAGATGATCAAATGTATGAAATAGACTTGCTGCTTATATTTGTACACTGAAAAATTATTCTCGTGTTATTTAGCATTATTAACCCATTAACTGCGGATGACGGATATTTTCGTCATTGAAGTTCTGTGGCTCAACTGCGATTGACGAAAATATCCATCAATCGCACATATATAACTATAACTCTATGCGAATGACGATAATTACCGTTTTATTGTGATTGATGGCAACTCAGTTTTATCTGTGAGTCAGAAAACGGCAACTGAGCTGCTCCTGCAGCAGTTAATGGGTTAAATTATTTTATTGGATCAGGCATGTCAGGTCAACAAATAACAGAAAAAGACTCTTTCACTGCTGTGCTTATAGATAAGCAACTTTCCCAATGAGAAGGTTTTCTTAAATACACAACAAAAGCATACATGTTTTAATATTTTCATTACATATCAGAAACCGGTAAACTTTGGGAAATTTGAAAGAGAATATCCTTTCTTCATGGTGATACAAAATTTCAAACTCACACTTAACTAATATTATAATTTCCAAGGTTAAAATACAGGTTTTATAGTTTGTCCCCTAAATATTCCTTAGCAGTGCTCTTGAGGGGAACATGTTTATCCCCATGGTAATGAAAGAGTTCATTTGACCATGAGATGTCAAAGGTTAAAATGTTGCTCTTTGCCAGTTTTAAGGTTTATATGTCTTATAAATTAAAGGTGTGATTCCTCATCTTCTTTATACCCAGCACAAATGATTCCTTCCGTGATGAGAAATAACTCTTTCTGAGAGTTTGGTGAACTATATTTGGTATTGACTTTAAACACAATCAGGTTCATAAGTGAACTGAAAGTAAAGTAAAATATGTTTTGGCCTGAACGTATCTTTATTAATAAATATCAATATATACGTGCATTTTGATTTAGTTATGATGAAAAACCTGTCGCTAGGATTTAAGTCAAGGAAAACTTTTGTCATGATATGATCAAAAATAAACCAGTCAGAGGATATAAGTTCTTTGATTCATCACTATCTGGTTTTTAACCATAACATCAGGTCAAGATTGATATCAACAGAATATTTTTCCAAGTTGTTTTTAAAGAAAAAAATTGTGCAATTGATACAAGTCTTTGTGGCTATATAACAGTTGATAGAAACACTGCTTAATTCTAGTTTTCTTTGTTGAATTTGTCAGAATAATACTTTCTTTTCATCCTAAATATGTATAACTAGATATTATGAGTAACAATCCCAAAGTATTTTCAAGGAAAGTGTAGTATCCTTCAATTTTTAAGCAATTCAAGCAACATTCTGTTTAGTCTCAAACATCTACATTTGATTTATTTATTTTTTTCTGTATAAGGCACATCTTAGTAGTTGTTTCAAAATATAATGGTGTTAACACTAAACTAATATCTCTCTACCATATAACATTGTTTTCGTAATGCAGATTTTTCTGTAGTTTATAGTATTTCTTTACAGATAGATATTCAGGCCTTTTTTTTTTTCATTGTCAAAATATTATAATTATGTTTATACAGTGTATATAATGTATTATGTAAAGTATCTTAAGAATCATGACAGTCAAATATTGTTCAAACTTGCTTTACTTACATGTTGCATAATGTTGGTAAATTGTACATATTGAAAATTAAAAGCTTCTGTAACTGATTAAAGAATTTATATGTTACTACAACATAGTAAATGTGTTACCTTCATTTGGATTTAGATTGGATTCTCAGCTACAGATGCAGTTACGGGTTTGAAGTTAATTGAGGCTGGAGTACACAAAGAGCATCTTGCTCTCATGGCCATACCTATGGTACCTCTACAGGTATTATTGCCACTGACCATTAGCCGGTATACTGTAGGACCAAGACCGTTAGATGTTTTCCTTAAAGCCTTTCCATTCAGGTATGTAGATAAAACTACCGTGCAAGAACAGATTAAAATCTCAAAAGCTAAGTGATTATTTTTTTTAAAGATTTTTTCATTGTTACCAAGGTGAAATTGAAAACAGAATCTGTGATATTGAGGCCTAATGCATTCTTTTATTGGCCGTACCCTCTACGTCTCAGATTCTCTTTTCAATTTCACCTTGGTACAAAAAAGAAAAGAAATATATAACATATGTATGTATATTTAATCATTAAACAGTCGGTCTGCAGTATAATATTTAACATATGTATGTATATTTAATCATTAAACAGTCGGTCTGCAGTATAATATATAACATATGTATATTTAATCATTAAACAGTTGGTCTGCAGTATAATATTTAACATATATATGTATATTTAACCATTAAACAGTCAGTCTGCAGTATAATATTTAACATATGTATGTATATTTAATCATTAAACAGTTGGTCTGCAGTATAATATTTAACATATATATGTATATTTAACCATTAAACAGTCGGTCTGCAGTATAATATTTAACATATGTATGTATATTTAATCATTAAACAGTCGGTCTGCAAGTATAATATTTAACATATGTATGTGTATTTAATCATTAAACAGTCGGCCTGCAGTATAAAATATAACATGTGTACGTATATTTAATCATTAAACAGTCGGTCTGCAAGTATAATATTTAACATATGTATGTGTAATCATTAAACAGTCTGTCTGCAGTATAATATTTAACATATGTATGTATATTTAATCATTAAACAGTCGGTCTGCAGTATAATATATAACATATGTATATTT